CAGCGTGTGTCCCAGGCGATCTGTTGCTAGCCAGCTGTCAGGCCGGAGTTGCCACAAAGAGATAATTACCTAATTATTTCAATGTCTCTGATTGATTTTTCATAGTTTTTTTGCTGTAATATTATTCAATAGTGTGTAGTTTGATATATTTACAGTGTGTCCTCACTTGAACGAACTATATGGGGCGAAGCCGATTCGTTCCAGTGCGGAATTCGTTCCATCCGTCCGGCCCCAACAACCTTCTTATTTTTTTTTTTTTTAAACATATGCCAGGACACATTAGTTTGTTTCTTTGTCGTGTGGTGCTTCATTATAATATCTTTCATGCTCTTTTGGTGTCAATAATAATCTGAGATGCGAGAATCACCATCCCCCACCCCACTCACACCATCCCCCACACCACCCACACCATCCCCCACACCACCCACACCATCCTCCACACCACCCACACTATCCTCCACACCACCCATACCATCCCCACACCACCCATACCATCCCCCACACCACCCATACCATCCCCCACACCACCCACACCATCCCCCACACCCCCACACCATCCTCCACACCACCCACATCATCCTCCACACCACCCACACCATCCTCCACACCACCCACACCATCCCCACACCACCCACACCATCCCCACACCCCCACACCATCCCCAACACCACTAACACCATTCGCCCCCACCACCCACACTCCCCACACCACCACCCACACCATCCTCCACACCACCCATACCATCCCCCAAACCACCCATACCATCCCCCACACCACCCATACCATCCCCCACACCATTCCCCAACACCACCCACATCATCCCCCACACCACCCACACCACTAACACCATTCGCCCCCACCACCCACACTCCCCACACCACCACCCACACACCCCACACCACCACCCACATCATCCCCCACACCACCCACACCATCCCCCACACACCCCACACACCCCACACCATCCCCCACACACCCCACATCATCCCCCACACACCCCACATCATCCCCCACACACCCCACACCACCCACATCATCCCCCCACACCCAACCACATCACCCACACCAAACCACACCACACCACCCAAACCACACCACATCACACCATCCACGGGGTGTATTGAAGCAGCAGGCTTGGAAGAGTCTCAACTCGCCTGACAAAAAAAAAAATGATGGGTTGACAGGTCTCCTCTCACACCTCCAGGATCCCTCCTCCCCCCCACCCCCCAGGTACCCGGCCATACACACCACAATGCCAAGTCAGCTATTGTTTCCTACAGGAAACAATAAAACATGTTAATGATTAATAATGTGTATTAATACACGAAAATTAACATATTTTGGCATAAATATTTTACAGCTAAGATTGAGATTTATAATAGAGTATGAATGAGAGGTTTGGCAGCCATGCGTGGTCACCACCCTTCTCTCTCCACTTCCACCTCCCCTGACAACACCTTCCATCACTGACCCCACCTGCCTCTTTCCACCACCTGCCTCCCATGACACCGCCTGCCTCCCTGCCTCCCTTGACCCCACCTGCCTCCCCTGACACCACCTGCCTCCCCTGACCCCACCTGCCTCCCCTGACCCCACCTGCCTACCCTGACCCCACCTGCCTCCCCTGACCCCACCTGCCTCCTCTGACCCCACCTGCCTCCCCTGACCCCACCTGCCTCCCCTGATACCACCTGCCTCCCCTGACCCCACCTGCCTCCCCTGACCCCACCTGCCTCCCATGACACCACCTGCCTCCCCTGACCCCACCTGCCTCCCCTGACACCGCCTGCCTCCCCTGTCACCGCCTGCCTCCCCTGTCACCGCCTGCCTCCCCTGACCCCACCTGCCTCCCCTGACACCACCTGCCTCCCCTGACCCCACCTGCCTCCCCTGATACCACCTGCCTCCCCGGACCCCACCTGCCTCCCCTGACCCCACCTGCCTCCCCTGATACCACCTACCTCCCCTGACCCCACCTGCCTCCCCTGACACCACCTGCCTCCCCTGACCCCACCTGCCTCCCATGACACCACCTGCCTCCCCTGACCCCACCTGCCTCCCCTGACACCGCCTGCCTCCCCTGTCACCGCCTGCCTCCCCTGTCACCGCCTGCCTCCCCTGACCCCACCTGCCTCCCCTGACACCACCTGCCTCCCCTGACCCCACCTGCCTCCCCTGACACCGCCTGCCTCCCCTGACCCCGCCTGCCTCCCCTGACCCCGCCTGCCTCCCCTGACCCCACCTGCCTCCCCTGACCCCACCTGCCTCCCATGACCCCGCCTGCCTCCCCTGACACCACCTGCCTCCCCTGACCCCACCTGCCTCCCATGACACCGCCTGCCTCCCCTGACACCGCCTGCCTCCCCTGACACCGCCTGCCTCCCCTGACCCCGCCTGCCTCCCCCGACACCACCTGCCTCCCCTGACCCCACCTGCCTCCCATGACACCGCCTGCCTCCCCTGACACCGCCTGCCTCCCCTGACCCCACCTGCCTCCCCTGACACCACCTGCCTCCCCTGACCCCACCTGCCTCCCATGACACCGCCTGCCTCCTCTGATACCACCTGCCTCCCCTGACACCGCCTGCCTCCCCTGACACCGCCTGCCTCCCCTGACACCGCCTGCCTCCCCTGAAACCACCACAAATGATGCTAGCCACCTCACCAAGGCCTAACGTTCACACGACCTGTGCTTGTTTTATTGGTCTACTCAAAATTTATTCTAAATAGATATTAGTACAGTACGTAGGCTGTTAGAGGGAGGGATCCAGGAAACAAACCCCCCCTCCCACCCACCCCCCCAATGGCTCAGGGAGCGACCAGCCGGCCACACAATGCCAGCTGTTATCTACACCCCAATTGTTTTAAAAATTCTGTGAAAAGGAAATGTGTTCAAACTGTTTAAAATATGTACTGTATATATTACAATTCTCACCATTATTGTTGCTCCAATATGACATTTTTCTAATAAAAAGGCTATTTTCAGTGTAGATAATGCGATAATTATCATTAAATTGACTCTTGGCATCTGACAACGAGAGGAGAGTGAGTGGTCTCTGTGGTCAGGTGGAGGAAGGAGGGTGGGGGCGGGGGAGCATGGAGGCGCCAGTCACGTGTTGCCTCTTGCCTCCTAGCAACAACTCTTTCACTAATGCCCCCTGACACCATTTTATCACCATTTTTATCACCATTTCTCCCTAGAAACAATGGGTAAGGATAATAAAACACTACATAACTGTTTACACTCTGGCGAATCATAGTTGATGACAGCCAGCTCCGACGCTCGGCCTCAGTGACCGCTTGGACGAACATTCCTCACTTAATCGAACATTTGTATGTTCCACTGAACATTTGGTACCGAATTCAATTTGTTCGGCTCTTCCGGGAATTCGATAGAGCGGGGTTCGTTAGTCTGAGGAAGCACTGTATATAATAAAATGAGTGAATCATTGCTGTACTCAAAAATATGGTGTGCATATTGTTGATTCAATTATGTTCATCAATCAGTGAACAAATACTTTGTCGGTTATTACACTATAAGCACAGGTTATATATAAGTATTTGCATGTTTTGTTCACTATAACGAACCACTAAGTAGCTATTATGAGTCAAAAAGTAACGAGGAGTGACCGCCGTGTACCAGCCAGCCACTCCCGCCTTCCCTCAAGTCATCTAACTCACCCACATTCTCCTCCCACAATACTGTTTTTGCTATAATTCACTATATACAGAAGTTATGTATAAGTATCTACACGTTTTGTTCACCATAACTGTACATCTAAGCTTATATGGTGAGTAAAGGCACAAAGACGTAGGACCTCACACAGTCAGCTGATGGCTGCCGCCCTCAAGGCCAGACGCACTAATATTTCTCCTCCAACAATACTGTGTGGTGTTATTATGCTATATACAAACATTATATATAAATGTCTACCTGTTTTATTCACCATACTTGTACAAATATACTGGTATGGTGCCCAAAGACCATCGTGGTAACCAGTAAACAGTACCGTCGTCTGCACGGTGGCGTCATGCAGACGACGCCACCGCCCTCACCAAAATGGCGGCTCCAAACCTTCTCTTGCTGTTTATACCCTCTATACACACGTTATATATAAGTATCTACATTTGTGTTCACCATAGCGAACCACTAAGCTGGTATGGTAAGTGCAGTCAATAAAAGGTGGCCACACACAGTCAGAAGACATCGCCACCACCCTCCCTCCCACAGCATTACTCCTCCCTCTATGGCACACAGTGCTAAATATCACCACAATCCTGCTATTATCAGAACCCTGGTCAGTTTTATCACAGTCGGGGTCTTCTGTAATAATATCATCGCTACATAATAGCATGAACAAGTATATTTTGGCATTTTTAGGCGATGCTGTGGTCACAAGCTGAACAGCAATGCTGTTAGCTCATGCTGCGTGCGTCAGGCTTGGTTGCTCACTCAATACTGAGGCCAATAACACCCGGGAGTTTGAACCACGATTTTTTTTTTTAAATGGCGTCAGTTTACAAGAGCCCTGATGAAGGTGTGGTGAACCCCGTGTATCCGCGGGCTGTTTAAATCTTGCGTAGTACTCCAACACGTCATATGACGTGATGCGCAGTTGACTGGAACAACGTCCAACACGTCATATGACGTGATGCGCACTTTAAGGGTTAAACAAAAACAAAATTTATTTGCATCGTCGGAGGCATCCGAGAATGTGCAAGAAGCAGCGCGACCCCACCATGTGGTGTCGTCGTTATTCAAACGAGCGGTCGCCATACGATCGTTATTCGAGGTACCACTGTATTTAGATGAAGGGTAGTGCATACAGTTTAGTTTTTATACCCTCTGGGAGGATAATTTTTTCAAGAGTCTGGTTATATGTGGGTGCATTCATATTCATAGATGAGAGTATTACTTATTTTCTGTTTTGAATGTAAATTTTCACCTGTACAGTATTTGATTTGATTTTGGTGTTAAACTAACTACACTTTTTTTTCAGAGTGGCCAAACCATAACAAATAGAGAAGTACTCAGCACACTAAGGGAGCCTATTTTGCCCATTATTGACCATCCAGCCCTCCTTCCCCTTGTCCAAGATTATCTTAAGCAAAAACAGCAACAACAAACACAGACAGAAAACAGCAAAGAAAATGTAGTATCAGGAGTGGATCCTTTACTTAACAATGAACAAACTTCATCCATTAGTAATGACGATGATTTTGATGATTTTGTCAGTGGTCCTAGTCAAAGTGCAGCAGCACACTTATCTCAGTGCATTTCTCTTACAAATCAGCAGATGCAAAGCACTACAGGACAGACTCATCCTCAAGCTAGGCTAGAAATGCCTGTTGTTGGGCCTTCTGGATCAGGAGTAACCTCACAGCATAGTCAGAAACCTTCAATTCCTAGTGTGGATAAAATAAAGAGAATGAATCTTCCTAAAGTAGGATTTTCTCCTGAACTTTCTCCTAGTACCAGTTTTGACCACACCTGTGATGACGAATTTGATGATTTCCAAAGTGCAGCTGTTTCTAGTGTGGCATCGTTGTCCACACGTATGAGCCATATGGGCCAGTCAGTTTTCCCAGTTGCACATAGCCACAGTAGCCAGAATGTTACTACGGCATCATCTGTTGAACCCTCTCAAGGTGCACCAATGCTATTGCAACCAGAGAAAACAGGTCAGTCAGAAGATAAGTATGCAGTTTTTAGAGATTTGGAGGTTCCTTCAGAAGAAGAATGTGGGCTTAATCTTTCAGAGCCTTTGCCACATAGTGCTGAAACTGCCGATGAAAGTTTTGGAGACTTTTGTAGCAGTGAACCTGTTAGTCTAATAGTCTCACAATCTAGTTTTCCTCCTATTCCAACTACGACTAGTGCAGGGCCTGGGACCAACAACACTTCACCTGTCAGCTTTGAGGTTTATAGCACTCCACCAGAAATGATACCAGAGAGCAATGTAGACAGTTATTTTGAAGCTGATTTTGGTGGTGCATTTGCAGCATCTACTCAGTCAGATAATTATGCTGATATTCATGAGGCAATGAAACGTGCAGAAATAGAACAGAAGAAGAAGGAAATGAATGACTGGAGTGATCCATTTGGAGAGTTTGAGGAAACTCCTAGCATGCCAATCAGCAGTACCTCAACAGGCTCGCTACCAGTTCCACAGCTGAGTGTAAGTCGTTTTGAGCTCCAGTCACCATTTTTGAGATTAACTTCAGAAGAGATAGACTCGTACATGCATTTTGCCTTGAGATATATTGTTGTAGTCAGTTGATTAATCATTAAACAAGTTTATTATTTAATTTATAGATTGGTGTATGTGATGAGGAAGATGAAGACTTTGGGGATTTCATGGGTCCTGACACAGGTGGTGTTGAATCTATTGGTGTCTCTTGCACCCATTCATTCCCAAGCCTTGCAGAGAATTTAGGAGAAACTCAATCTGTAGCCAGGTACAGTGCTTCACTATTTCTGTGTATAATAATTTTGTTAAAGTATTTGTTCATATATAAAAATATCAAATGCATGAGGAAATGCCAATACTTAATTTTTCTGGGGAGAGCCCCTACGGCTTCCCGGAGCTTATCCAGGCTTATCCAGGCTGATATGGATATGTTAGACTTTGGCATCAGTCAGTGTGAATGGAGTTCTTAGACCTACCGGGGACTACGAGCCAGAACCTGGCTCCCCTCAGAGAGGCACGAGGAGCAATGGCCTATAGAAACTCACATTCTGAGTTCCACCTATTGTCATAGCTCCTGTTATGTAATCTCTGAATCCGTCACAGTCCAGAATTTCCATCTCATCAAAACTCCAGTCCTTCCTTATCAGCAGGGCCACTCCTCCACCTCCTCTCCCTTCCCTCTCTTTCCTCACTATATGGTAGTCCTTTGGAAACACAGCATCTGTTATGACTCCTGACAATTTTGTTTCCGTGAGTCCTATTACATCTGGGTTCTCTTCTTGTACCCTTTCTGCCAGTTTATTCGCTTTATTGGTAATCCCATCGATGTTTGAGTACATTACCTTGAAGCTCACTTTCCTATATCCATTTTCACTCTCTTTCCCCACAAGTGTAGGAAGTTGTTGAATGGGCATTGCTACTTGGGTAGACTCATCCTCCTGTGAGGTAGTTGCCAGGGGTTCAGGAGAAGATGGGGTGAGGGATGGAGGGCTTAGGTCTTGCCCAGGTCTGCTTGGGTCAGGAAGAATTCCTGGGGGTGGAGGGGCAGGGAGTGCATGGGGTTGGGGGGCAGGGATTGCTCGGGGTGAGGGCACGCCCTCCTGTGGTGTAGTTGACAGGGGTTTGGGGAGAGGTAGGGTGGGGGATGGAGGGCTTAGGTCTCGCATGGGCCTGCTTGGGGCAGGAAGAAGACCAGAAGATGGGAAGGCAGGGGATACTGGGGGTAAGGGGGAAAGGGAGGATTTGGGTGATATGGTGGGCATTGTGCAGGGAGGGGCAAGGAAGGATATGTGCTGGGGATGGGAGGGGGCCTTAAGGGGTGGTGAGTTGTGGTGTTGCAGTCCCCTCTAGGGTTCCTGGATTGCTGGATTGGGGTTCCCCACCCCCCCCTGGGATTGCTGGGTTGAAGGCAGAGGTTCCCTGGCTCCCTTCCCTCCCTGCGCCTTTTCCTTGCATCTGCTGCCCTTATTATCTCGCCTCTGGTCATGTCCCTCTGAAGGTATACATCTTTGTAATTCCTTGCATTTTTCAGTTTGCTCTTCTTTACTAGTATGTCCACTTTGATGGCCTCGTTCCTGAATACTACCTTGATCAATCTCTTTTTGTCTTTGTTGTGCTGGCCAATCTGGAAAAACTGTTGTCTTGTGCAGCTCCCTCCATTCCTATCTTCTTTAGTATCCCTGACACTGCAGCTTTGTCCTTAGTCCTCCATTCTTCCTTCTTGGAACCCTCTTGTTTCTTAAGGGAGCGTCTGGTTGGCATCTGGGTCCAAAAATGAAAACTTGTTCGATTTCAATCAAACTTTTTTGACAAGTTCTATATGAAAAGTGTTTCATCTGGTCCAAGTTTCAGCATCGTAGCATAAATAGGAAGGGAGAAAAAAATATTGAAGTAGTTGTGAAAATTATGCAAAAAATGGTCAAAATCGATTATCAATCAAAAGTGTCAACTGAAATCAGAGCTACGACTCTTTGCTATCACAATAGCATATATTAAACAAATATTATAATTAGTTTAATTGGAAAAAAATTTTAAGAAAAAAAAAAAAAAGATTTTTTTTTTTTCAATATTTTTCTGGGGGGAGCCCCGTCGGCTCCCCGGAGCTATCCCAGGCTGATATGCTAATGTCAGACTTTGGCATCAGTCATGTGTATGGGGTTCTTAGGCCTACCGGGGACCACGGCCAGAACCGGGCCCCCTCAGAGAGGCAAGGGGAGCAATGGCCTATAGAAGCCCCCGTGTAGTTGGAAGCATTCTATGTCTGCCATCGACCAGAACAGGCACCCAGAAAGGTAAGCGCCCCAAAACAAACCCCTATTCTGGTTAAAATTGCTACCAAAAACCGAACTAGTGGATAGAACTCCCCAACCGAAAACAAGCAAACTAGTGTGACGTCACACACTGCTGCGCCGCTGTCTGCGCAGCTCCCCCCTCCCCGGGAGGGGGAAGGGGGAGCCCCAGACCCCCCACGCCGGCTACCCACACCTCAGTTCTTGAGGCTGATGCTATAGGCGATGGTCGTGTGCTCTGGCTCCGGTGTCGCTACTGCACTGTGCTTTGCGTGTGGTGTTAGTTTTGTGGGTGCGAGAGCCAGGAGTTATCTTCAGTACTCGGGCTGCATGCGCCTAGGGCTGCCTTCCCTAGGTGCCCTGTAAGTACTGCCCTTGGGGCTTGGGGCCACCTTCCACAGGCTCCTCGGGGTCTGCCTCTGCTGGTCCGTTTTACCTTTCGGTTTTTTGGCCGCCTGTTGGGCTCTTGGGTGTTCTGTTCTCCCTTGTTACCGGCAGGTAAGGGGCAGTTTGCACTGGTAGGGGCGCAGGGTGCTGCTCAGCTTGTATTTCCCGACATCGCGGCCGGCTCTGTTCCTGGGGGTTCGCTGTCCTCTTGCGGGGTTTTGTTTTTCTTTTTGTTTTTGCCTGGTGGGGGGTTCTGTCATTTTATTCAGTTTGTTTTTGCCCGTCCACTGTTCTCCTCGGTGGCGCCCCCTGCTATGCCCCCGTGAGTGTACACGTCCCTGGGGTTCAGCTTTAGAAGTTTGCTTGATAGTTTTGGGCGCCGGTTTGCAGCACCCTGCCTGGGACTACCTGAGCGCGAGTCCTCTTAAAGTAAACGCTCAGGACCCTGGGAATCCCCTAGGGGGCGCGTGGGTCCGATGGATGTGACCCCGGAGTCCCCACTCGCTGTGTGCGAGTTTGAGGGTTGCTCGGTCCCCTTGTCTCAGGGTGACCCTCATTGTTTTTGCCTCTGCCACGCTGCCTGTTGGGTCGGTGATACTTTCGACCCTGAGTCCTGTGAGTGTTGCTGCTTGCTTGTGACTCAATTTACCCAATCCTCTGATGATTCTATTCGGGTACAGGCGGCACGTGCGTTGCAGTCTAGGTTTCGTCTGTTGCAACGCGCTCGGTTGGTTGCTTCCCCGGATGCCCCGGGGCTGCCCCGCTTTGCTTTTCGAGACCCGGACTTGGGGGTGGGGGTCACTTCGATCCTGGTTCAGTTCGCACCTCCTCGTCCTTCCCCTTCTGTTCGTTCTGGTCCCCCGCCCCTGCTTCCGGCCCCGAAGCGTCTGAGGGTTTCGGGGTCGGAGCAGGGGTTACTTGATCTCGAGACTCGGGCAGCTTCGGGGGTTGCCCCTTCCGGGGGGGCGGCAGAGGCATTCGAGTCTTGTCTCCCGGCCGAAGCTTCAGGGTCTGACCAGTGGGCCCCTCTTCCTCCAGCTTTTCCGGCTGCTCCGTCCTTGTCTTGTGGGGTCGGGGCTTGGGGAGAGGACTCGGCCTCGGGTCCTGTGGTGACGGACCTCGAGGCTGGGGAGGGGCTGAATTGGGGGCCTTGGGCCCCGCTGGACCCCGCCTGGGTTTTTCTTCCCACTGAGCGAGGCTTATTGTTACAAGGAGTGGGGTTTTCTTTCCCCCCTCTGCGTACGAGTTGGATTTGGTGTAGGCCCCTCCCCGGGTACGGTTCCGTGTTCCCCCGGGTACGTCGGTTCCGTCCTTCCGGAGGTTTTCGGCTTATCGCATCCAACCTGGTGTGGTGCGAGCGGCCTTTGCAGCTTACCTCCTGCGTGACCCGGATTATGCCTCGGGAATGGATCCGTCCACGTTCAGGTTTGGGACTTCGTTCCCTTTCTGGCTCCGTTACGAGGTTCTGGAGTCGTCCTGCTAGCAGACTGCCCCTTGTTTGGTCTGGATTCCTGGCATTCCTTCTGTCGTTCCCGCGCGCTGGAGTGGCGGGAAGCTTCCACGGTGCTTCAGGTTTTCCTGGGGGGTGAACTTGAGTACCTGACTGAGTGCTTGTTTGCCCCTGCCCTTCCCCGCGATGTGGGCGTTATTCAGCTCCATGTGCAGGTTCCCTCCCTTTCGGCGGCGCTCGTGGCGGCGGACTTGCGCGCTCGGGGCCTTTTGTGTTCGGCCTTGCGGTTCTTTTCCCTCCTGGAGTTGTCTTCGGATTGGCTCGTGGAGGATGTGGGGACGCTTGGGTCCGTCCCGGGGTCCGGCACCTTGTCCTCGGCTGCGCGTTCGTCGGCTGCCTTGTTGAAGCTGTTCACGCCGATTTTGCGGGATGCGGTTTCCCTGTTCTATGCTTCCCGTCTCGCGTGTCGGCAGGCGGTGCTGGGTTCCTCCATGGGATCTGCTTGGGCTCTGGCTCTTAGGCGTTCTTCACCTTTTTGTCCTCTCCTGTTTGGGGAGTCGGCCGTGGCGCAGTTTATTCAGGCTGCGTCGGCGGCTTGTCGTCCGATGTCGGACTTGTTGGTTTTCCGGGGGTCCCGGGGTGGGTCTTCCCGGAAAGGTCGTGCCAGGGCTCGGGGTTCCTCTCGTCGTGGTAGGCCTCTGGTGTCAGGTTTGGGGTTGGCTCCTCCTGCGGACCCTCCCTCGTCTGGTCGGCGCGGTGTTCGCGCTGTGCGGGGTTCTGGGTCTCGTAGGGGTCGCCGGCCCTTTCGCGGTTTGCCCCTTTGACGGGGCGATGGGGGGGCGGCTTGCGCTGTTCGCCCGTGCCTGGTCCCACGATTCGTGGGCCTTTCGGGTCGTGTCTCGCGGCCTGCGGTGGCGTTGGGTGGCCCCTCCCCTCTTTGGGGGGTCGGGGCTGGCAGGGCAGGCTTCTTCCCCTGCGCTCTGTCGAGTCGTCTTGGAGTGGGTACGCTTGGGCGTCGTCGAAACGACGTCGTCCCTCAGATGGGTTTCCCGTCTGTTTCCGGTTCCTTAACGGGACTGCGCGGACCTGCGGTTCATTCTGGACTTGTCCCGTCTGAACCCCTGGGTTCATTGCCCCTCCTTT